TATGTCCTGTTCCTCACACTGATTCTATAAAAATAGGGCTCCCATTTCTTTTTCCGTAGAAAAATTAAGATTTTAATCGGAACATAGTATGGTTTTCATGAGTCACTTTGGAAGTGGTCACTTTATGGTCAGAAAAAAAATGGCCTCGAAATAAATACAACCAAAACAAAAGCGATTGTTTTTAGACCTGTAAATAAACATATTGATGCTAGTTATGCTCTTAAGATTGGAAGCAAGGAAATTGAAATAGTAAGTCATCATAAAACGCTAGGCATAATTTTTTCAGAGTTTATGCAATGGGATCATCATATAGAATTTCTAACTCACAAACTGGCAAAGGTAGCTGGCATCATCGGTCACCGTCGGTCTCTTTTGCCTACAAAAGTTAAGATTCAAATTTATCATGCTCTGTTCGGCTCAAAAATCAACTACTGCCATTTAGTTTTGGGCACAACGACCAAAAGTAACGTCAACAAACTAATAACTCTTCAGAAAAAAATTATTCGTTTCATTGCTAATGTTCCGTACGACACACATGCTGAACCATTATATTTGAGCTACAATATCATGAAAGTTTCTTGTATTTATGACTATCGTTTGCTATTTTCTTACGCCTTTTCAACTTTGGAGTTTATTTCTTTTTTGTCACAGCTAGCAAACCTGAGTGAGCGTGAATCAGTCTTCGATGTTCGTCGTAGAGAATTCTGGAAGGTTCCCCATTTCCGTACAAATTATGCACTGCAGTCGCTTGCTCATAATCTACCTACATTGCTTAACAACATTGCAATGAACCGCATCGATATTCATTGTATAACTAAGAAAACATTGCGTACTTTTTTGTGTTGTTAAATGAAGGAAAAAAAATGTTCTCTAATGTCGGTGATTTTAAAATTTTTATTGGAACATTTTAAATTGTTTGATTTGAATATTGTAAGAAATATTTAGGATTGTTTAAATATGATTGTGTTCCCTGTACATGCAAGGGCACCGGACCCAGTCAAGCTAGCTTCTGTTAGCTTTTTGTCCGGTGTCCTCGGCATAATGTTGCTGAAATAAAGTTCAAAGTTCAAAGTTCAAAGTATACGGCCTCTCGGCGTTTACGAATACAGTCCGGTGGCTAAAAACTAGATTAGGCCGTTCGGATGTCAACGCGATAACACTTCTCTAGACAGCCCCCTCGGGAAAATTCAGCTCTGTAACGGGAACTGCATGCGCATGTGCGGGAGTGTGATAAGCGCATACTATAATGAAAAGAAAGAACGAAATTCCGAACGTCCCCCAAGAAGAACAGAACACGGGAACCCGAAATCTACAGCATGTTGGTCAACTACTGTGCGAGGAGGACAGCTGCAAAGCGATAGTTTGTATGTGCCGTTAGCCTCTCCTCATCGAGCATATGGCCGCGGATGGCAAGGCGTTCGCTGGACATGGCGCAGTCGTTGCAGAGCCTCGCTAGAGGAAGGAGCGAACTGAAGAAGAGACAGTTGATCTTAAGTGGCGACCTGCTGAGTATAAACGACTTTATTAAATGAAAATGGATGGGCATTTGATGCTCAGAGTTCCTCGCTAGAGGTTTTGTGGCAGTTTAATCCGCAAAATATAGCGATTTTAAAAGAGAATCAGTGCTGTTGCATTTTTACTTGGTTTGCAGCGAAGCACCGCGAAAACACTGGGGCCATTTTCCGAAGTATGGCATTAGCTGCTTTTCTGACTGGGTATTTACGAGTATTTACGGATATTTACGAGTATTTATAATATTGGTAGCTCCTCGAGGACAAAGTGAATCATAGCTTGCCTTTTCGACACCGCAATATTTAATATACAATTTTAAATACTACGTCAAGCGGAAATAGAATTCACATCAATAATGCTGAGTCTTCGTGTATCAAAATTTTTAAAAATAAGCCTACATGTGTAAAAAAAAAATTAGCGTGAAATTGCTACATAAAGCGTCCATCTAAAAATGAAAGGCGTCCGGATGACGAAGCAGCCGAGAAAGGGGGGCAGCTAGTGTAATGTAATAAAAATTGCCTGACAATAAAATCTTTATTGAAAAATCTTTACTGTGAAAATTATTTGTCAAAAAAATCGTCCACTACATTGAAAAATATGCACGGCATAATTTGACCCAAAACACATCGTCTGGTATTCGTGGTCAGTGTAGGCGTCTTCGCTCTTATAAATGTCTTTCTCTGTCGGCGGTTGCGCCATTCAGAATTATTTTGTTAGCAGATGAACGCCGTAGGTTGGGCAAGAAGGTTCTTCATTTTTACTCTTTACTTAAGTAAGTTCATACATGTTTAAAAGTGCTATTCTTAAAATGTAACATCCTCGGCAACCTATGTAGACAATCCCAGAACGAAGTAATAAGAGTCCGATGTATACAGCACCTGCAAAGGGCCCACAATTCATCTTACTCACGCAATATATTTGCAAATATTAAGGCGGTTACGTCATTCTGGCGCTTCTTATGGGCGACACTCAACGCCATGAAAGAACTCTTCTTTGATCGCCTATGTCCTGCCCCGAAATGCAGTCCTCGCGCCCGTCAACGAATATCAGAAACACTTCCCGAAGACGGCCGAGACCCATTTGGGAGCGAGAGGCGGCGATGTGCCAGCTCTGCGACGGCAACCGAGATGCTCCCGAGAGCACACATTACCGAGTGACCGTTATGTACCTTGTCGGGGCGCGACAGCTCTTCGGGAGATGGCCGTTATGGCCTCGGGACACCGTTAACACTGCGCAGGAATCCAGAAAGAATTGGAAAAAGGGAAGGGGGTGATGAGGTGGGGGTGAGGAAGGGATGGGGGAAGGGGATGGGGGGGGGGGGGGGAAGGGTGATGGAAAGAAAGACAGAGTACAGGTTGTGTGCTTTCGGGGCTCAGAGAGAACTCTCTCCGGTTCTTGGTCATAAATCCGGAGTATCCGAGGTGTTTGCGAACTGATTTGGGTGACAGGCATCTTGCTCCGCTTGGCCCAGTAATCGCATGAAGACGTGATTCCTATCTTTCTCGAAAACATTTTATGGGACTAGGCGTCCGTGTTCCGGATCTCCATGGACGGACAAAGATGTAATCAAAGTATGACGCCTCGTAACGGCGCGGCTCACTTAGTGGTCATTTCGAGCTTTGAGCAAGTTGTTTTTTGTGTATGTAATAAACGCTCAATATCAATCCTTTTTTTTGTGTAGTAAATACAATCCTATTGCAAGGAACCGTACAGGAGTCTAAATATTACGCGATTTTTCCGCAAGCTTTGTTTTTATTTTAGTTATTGGTGTTCAGACCTTTATGATAAGTGAATTGAGCTGCCCCAGATTCGAACGACTCATAGCCGTTTACCCCGTCCATCACTTGTCATAATCAAGATAGCACGAGCAAGAATACCTTTTTGCAAGATTGAAAACCCTTACTTATCCCATTTACGGAAAAAACAAACGTACAGATATATATGCAGTTTTTGCTACCTTGAAAAAGATGAGAAAGAGTGGAAGCACAAATACATGCAATGTATTTTTGTACATTTATCGTGCTTGCGGTCTGACACGTCTCTAGATGTGGTCCAATATCGGTGAAAAAAAGCTATTCATTTTATGCGCTTAAATACCGGCTTAACATGGAAAATACAAGAGTCAGCGTGCGAAGCCTGTAACCTCTTTGACTGGTGTAACTTAACTACGTTCACCCCTAGGTTGAGACTGCGGTGAAGGCTACGTTCCCGCCGGACCAATCAGCCACCTCCCTTTTATCACCTGAATCGGCTCTCTGCGAACCAGTATGAGCGTGAGCGTTATTAGGTGGCGATTACGTGACGAACAAGAGACAAATGCGATTGGTCCGACGAGGACGGTGCTTCCACCGCAGTTTGAGCTGAAAGAGGAACGGAGTATGACGTCCTGTAGCGCCGATGCATCGAAACTGATCCGGAAGTGGCAACAAAACTCATGACAAAAACCGGCATGATTAAAATGTCACCATTTTGTAGATTAGTTCAAATTCATTCTTTCACCGTAGACTCGATATAACTTTGACGGTGTGACAAGCACAATTCCTCGTAAATCGCTGGCGGATTTCGACTCGGAAATACGGCAAAACTTGCAATCTTGTTACACGCAGTTGCAGGGCCACATGATAGATGACATCAGTGTGTCCTCTCATTGCAAGCGGTTGAAAGAAACCGCAACACAACTCGAGCGCAGCCAGACGCGCGTGTGAACCAGACATTAGGCAGTCACGAGCCGCTAAAACGCAATTAGAACCACTTGTACACACATTTATGCCCCATCTTTAATGGCTATAACTCGGGCGCAAAGAGTCATACGGACTTGGGCGCCAGCTATAGTTGAGCTAGTTGGCACATTTTGGCGATGTGTCAGCTTGAACTTACGGAAAGGGTTGAAGAAAAAAAGGAACAGAAAAAAACAGCCGAATATATGGGGACCGCGCCTGAAAACGACGATTACGCATACGAAAAAAAAAAAAAAAGAAACTGCAGTAAATCAAAGTTGTTAGTCGGCTGTTTTGTCCTGTTTCGTACCTTGGATCGTTTCTGTATGTGCAAGGTGACCCTCCGCCACTATACGTTTACGGACAATCCCGCAAGGCCGCTAGTCAATCACACATCGCACCGCGCGGCGGGAGGAATTGTGGGGTTGTTTCGATGTACGGTTGAGCCGGCTCGTACGCTCTGTACATTCCAGAAGTGGCTTAGTTCCTTCTCTCTTAACCCCTGCGAGTTCAAAACACAAAGTCAAACCGAGTGAACGCTTCGCAAAGCCAATGCGTAACCTACTTCGTTATCGTCCCTTTTTTTTTTTTTGTTCTTTTTTTTCATTTTGGAATTAAAAATGTTAAAGAAACATGAGGCGCTCTTTCTGTTATGGGCAGTCTCCTTCACGCGCCGTACAACGGACGTCCTTAGTGCGTCGAGAAGACGACAGGAAGCGCTGCAAACTTCCGGAAGGGTCAATTCCAACGTCGTTCTCTTCCGGTGCTTACCGCTCACGTCCATCCTGGAGGTGTAGTTGGTGGTGGCGATGCCCGAGGTCGCTTTGCAGCTGTAGTTGCCCGAGTGTCTCCGGGTCACGTTGTCCATGGTGAGCGAGGAGGCGAAGTCCCCCAGGCGCGTGATCTTGGCCTCCGGGTGGACCTCGCTCAGCGGCGCCGAGTCCTTGAGCCAGTCGATCTCGACGGGGGGCTCGCCGGAAAGCACGCTGCACACCACCGTGGTGCGCATGCCTTCCTGTAGGTTCTTCATGAACAGGAACGGATTGATAACCGGCTTGGCTGCAATGGGAAAACCGAGAGTCGTATGGGTGGAGTGTTGGCTAGAACGACCACCGAGTGTCAACAGAAAAAAATTTGAGTGCATACATTTTGAAATTGACATTGAGTCTTTGGAAATGTCATGACAGGAGGCCTAATACTAATTGATTTGGTTTGGACAAGAAACTTAATAATACTTTAATAGCAACATAACATATTTTACTTAGTTCCAGTTACAAAAAAATATAACTAGCGAAGTCCCAAACATAACATATACTGCACATTTATTTTAGATGCTGACACATATGCTAGACATTTATTGCAAGAAAATTGTAAAAACAGAAACGAGATCTCCTGTCTTATGCCTGTTTTCACGTTAACGTGTACAGCGCATGAGCAAGCGCAAAAAAAAAGAACAGAAACTTAAACATTTCCCGCATAATTGAGCATCCAAGTAAATTTAAACGTAAAGGTTTCAATATCAACTTTGAAACGTTGACCGTTTTAAGCTTGCTAATCTGTATATCGGTAAGACAATTTCTGCCTTTGACATCAATGACTTCAACTGTACATCAGCGTTAGTGTGATGTTCTTCTGAAAGACATTACAATATATCCGAAGTCCCGAGTACGTATTAAATGTATTTTACGTCCAGAAAAAAAAAAAAATTACACTGAGATGCTTTGCAATCCAAGTTAGTTAGTGACGGAGTGAGCGTGTGTATGTGTGTGTGTGTGTGAGTGCGTGTGACGGTGCGTGCGTGCGTGCGTGCGTGTGCTTATACCTGCGTACGTGTGTGCGTGTGTGTGTGTGTTTGACAGGGCACTTTCAAGGCGCGTTAAACTTGCGTTGTCAGTATAAAAAAATATGAAAAAAAAATACACAAAAAAAAGTTAAGAAGTCCGTCGTGGCCACCGCCAGCGACCCCGAAGGCGCTCCCGATGTGAAGTCACTTGCGGAGATTGGCACAAGCGCGGAGGAAGCCCGGCGAGCTGCTTCCCGATGAAGACGACCTACGTGCCGAAACCAACGGCCGCTACGTGAGGCACCTCGGCCCATCAGGCGAGCTCGAGGACGGACATCCATCGCCGCGCAAGGCCATCAGGGGACACCGCCCGCGACGAGGAAGAACTCTGATCTCCGACGGGAAATTCCGGTAAATGGATCCAGCGTCCGCAGGCTCCCAAATGGCCGTGTCGTCCCGATCTTGGCGATAGCGACAGCCGCCCTGCTTGGGGTATAACCCTCCGAGTTTGATGCACTCAGAGTCGCCTCGGTGGAAATGGAAAGGCCGAATAAAAAATTGACGAAGAACAAATATAGACTATGGCGAGATGGAGTTTGCGGTGTGCTTGAAGAGAGAGTGCGGATTCAGGTTGACCGCACCGATTTCACGAGTCATCAAGCGCGGAAGATGGTCTGGAAAATCTCTGTTTTCAAAAAGAAAAATCGTGAACGTAGCCTCTGACGCGGTTACGTTTTGAAAATATTTTTTATTCTTTTTTTTAATGTTATTGCCATTGGACCAACGAGGGAATGACCGTCGTCAGCCCAATCTTGTGTATGTGTTTCCCAACAAATTTGGGTATGTAAGAATAAAATAAGTGAGACGCGTTCCAAGCGCTCCAGTGAGTCCTATATGGCTGAGATATTAATATAAGCTTTCTTTTTATGCGCGCTTGGGCTGCAAATTTTAAAGCCCTAGATTTTCTTTTTATCCAACGTTCCCTTACAAAGACACGCCATACGCCGTTTTACTTACGTGTATAATATATTTATATATATATACCAAATACAAAAGCTGAGCTCTTACAGAAGGAATAGGTTGCTGTGCGAATTTATGTGTTAATTTGTTTTGTAAAAAAGCTTTTTTTTTAAAGTCAGAGGTATATCACTTTTGTCGTCACAAGATGTCTATCAGGATCGTAGACGATTGACGGAAGGATAATCATACCCATGAAATAGATAGCGAACTAAAATTTGTTCATAAAACTTTTATCTTCTATAATTTTTTTGACTGTTCATCTTTGAATAGCAGTCTTAAAGTCAGTTATTCTCGGGGGCCAAATAAAATCAAACAATTTGCAAATACGGAAAATGTTTTTGTGAAATTCATAGCTCAGTTATCGTGGACACAGAAAACGTGCCGAAAGTCCTGTTCACTCTCCCGCTTACGGGAGTGACGTAGTTTGTTCAGTCGCGTTGTCAGTGCCTCAGCCGCACGTCTTTGGCGAATGCGATGACGACCGGCTGACGATATAAAGATGAGGTTTCAGAATTGGTACATGACTTTTTTTTTATGCATGAATGTGAAAAAGGCTTGTCATCCCTTTGTTTACATCGCTTTAGACTCAGGCAACAAAAACGCTGAAAAAATGATTGATGAGTATTGCAAAGCCCGTTGCCTTCTTTGAAAATCTTTAAAATACTTTATCCTTTCCTAGTAATTGCACTCCACAGTGCAATAGCACCAACATGATTCATAAAACCGTTTATCCAAAGGTGAATTAAGAGATTTCATTTATTTAGCATACTGATCGTGACGGTCATGTTGCCATCTATTGTATGGTGAGCCTAATACATATGCAGTAAAAGTATAAAAGTATAATTCATCTAGCGCTTGCACCCAAAAGAAAATTTTGCAACAAAAAAAAGCTCCTGTGTATACCGGCTGTTCAAACAAACCTCGAGTAGGTTTTATTGTATAGGTAGGTAGTTGATTCATCACTCTCTCTTAAATTCTGTTTTAGGTTTATAGCTTTTAGGTTGATAAAAGTTTCCTTTCGACTTGAATAATTACTTTTTTAGTAGTAAAAATAAACAAATTTCAATTAGACTCTCGATGGGCATCATTAAAAACCACCAACTTAGTTAATTTTCAAGATATTTATAGTGCTCGCTTTATTTTTTATTTTTCGTTTTAATCTCAAAAAGGCATCCAAGTTTGACGCACCCGCTGGGAATTTTCCGTTTCTTATCTTCCGAAGTTCCGCTCCGCGAGCTTCACGCATGCAGCACGCCCGATAACGCTTCCGAACCTCGATGCTTCCAAAACGCTCTTTTTTTTTCCTTTTTTTTTGTTTATTGATTTATTTGTTTTGAATGACAAGTAGTGCCATATATATTTTTTTAATTAGATCTGCATACTTATCTATTTTTACTATCCAAGAGGTTAATTACGAAATACTGATTCGGGGCCTAATTATGCGAAACGCTACGCGCCCCAATAAACTGGCCCCTCGGTCATTACTAACGCGGTGCCAATCGTTTTTCTCAGCGATGCGCAGCTTTTGTAGGCAAAGTTTTCACGATGTTCGGTGATACACCCTGCATGATCACTACACGACGATTGGTTCCGTTCGCTTAAACAGAGTAGTGTCGGACTCTAAACTGCACAACAATTGATGTTCATTCACAAAATAATATTCTGACACACGAGGAGTCTAGGCATTAAAAAAACCTCTCAGCTCTGAGATAAGAAGTGTACCAACCGATGATATTGAATGTGCGCTGACTGTGTCGCCCTACTCAAGACTACATTTTTTTCTGAACGGTACAGGCTGCTCAAAAATGCATGCACTATTATGTAGGCTATACTAGCTAAACAGAAATTTTAACATCGTCAAGAAATGAAAGCTAAAAAAAAAACGAAAGACCAAACAAAAAACAGTCATGTCCTGTTTTATTTTTTAACCCTAAAACGTGCAAGAATAAAAGACGATTATGGACTGGGAGAAAAAACAAAAAAAAAAGATCGTCGTTGTTTCGGTTGAAGCAAATGTAAACCAAACAAGGGAATCCCTTGAGAAAAAAAAATAAGGACGCGTGCACTGAAAAATAAAACACGGCAGTACCATCTCCGCTGGGATGCTAAATTCCGACCCTCATCACCAAGGGGCAAACACAGACGCCAGGGGGCGCGTCGTTCGCTTACTCGATGCTTGTGTGGTTTTTCGTCAACCCTTACTCGTTGCATATATGTATATATTCCGGAGCCTAAAATCGATCAAATCTTCTCAGGGATCCTTACTACCTACTTAACCCTCCTTTTTGTATTCATTACGTCTAGCCAGTTAGATATAAATTTAAAAAAAAAGTAGAAGACACGTGTATGACAAAAAGTGGAAGCTTGCCATAACCCTTATAGCAAAAATACACGCCACCTCGTGCTTGTGTCAGCGGGCGTGCGTTAGGAACTTTATGCTTCCCGAATTTCCGCTCCCTGCCTCGAGCGATATTGATTTCTTTTTTTTCCCTGGGAAATTAAAGTTCAATTTAGCTTCCTCGAGGGAAATTCCCAGAGTACCAACGGAAAGGAGAAGACTATGTTGGCAGATATAAGTAAATAAAACGAAACTTCGAGGGGAAGCGTTCGCAAGGCCATCTTGCCCATAGCGTACATGTTTTCTTCCTGCTCGTCATGGTTCATTTTATCGACCGGGTACATTTTATGCTATCTCCTTTTACTACATACATGTCTCTGTTTTGAGATATATTTAAATCACTTGTGTATAACTCCTTCCCTAGCAAAATTAAGTCCGCGTTATGATGTTTGCAAACATAACAGAATAAGAAAAATGAGTTTTTATAATGTAGAGTGTGGTGCTGACGATATTTATTGTGCTAATTTCCTAGTGTTCATGTACTCATCTTTGACGCGTTTTGGTTACTTTTTTTCACGCACATCAAGGCTTACTACATGCCATAAGTGAAGTATCAACCAAGATAGTGCGTTTGATCTACCTACATGCTCCTGCAGAAACTCCCACTGTGAGCTTCTCACCGCCTCTTCCTTTCACCTTGTTTCATTTTTTACCATATTCACCAAATGATTGTTACATGCCGTATGATCCTGCAGAAAGGAGGTTATTCCGTTGAAACATTACGTCTATTATTTCTGGCTTTTTGCCCAGTAAAGTACGTTCGAAGCTGAACCTTTAAGGCAGAGCATGTTGCGATGATCACGGAAACACACGTCCTTACAAGAAATGCAATGTCCGAAATGAATGTCTGCCTGCATA